GTCTTCGGCATGGCATTTCAGTGAAATAGCACTATAAATTAGGCATCATATCCGCGCTATCACAACAAGGCAAGCGCACCCCAACATACCCTGTCTCCTGCATATACACACGCAAGCGCATATACACTTCACATATGGAGGCACGTCCTTAAATGACCTTAGCTGTTGATAGGACGTTAAACAAAATTAAACCAAACCAAACCATATGACAAACATGAGTAATGGACCGAAGTTCGATGATATGTATTCACCGTGACTCCTACGTTTTATGAAACGTCTTAACAGATGATACAATGTGGTGAAGCGTAATCAAACTCCAAAACTTTAAGGCTTATCATATTGTGATGTTATGTCATCTTATAGAAAGTGTAAGTATGTACTCTTATAAAGGAAATGATGCGCGTGTGTATCATGTCCTGTAGTATAATCTGTTAAGGAGTGTGGCTAAGATAACGGGGAGTGGCTCCGAGTGGTTGTAAACAGATCAACGATTGTTTTTTACAAAGTCTTTCTAGATTATTGTTATCAAATACTTAAATTATTTTCTCTTCTTCCTCGAACATATGTTAGCGAGTTAATTAAGGTCAGAGTAAAAAGCTGTAAACTATATCTTTGATATTTTTACAACTCATATTGACAGTATGTGTATTACACAAATTAAGCGTTTTTGTTAGTTGAAAGTATTTACAAAGTATAGATTAATGTGTTGAATCTTTTTGTGTTTCTTTAGATCACCTTTCAGTGTTTAGATTATTCTTGAATATTTACGAAGTAGAAAAACCGTTTTTCTAGTTAACTTCTGACCCAATTAATGTCCGAAATGCTCTTCCTGTTAAAGGTTTGTCCGAAGTCGTCAGTTTACTGACCAATTAAATGTCAGGGTGCTCCGTTAGTTCAAGATGTGTCTTGTGTCATTGATCTTTGAAACAAACCGGTGTCAATGGTATTGATTTAAGCACTGTCCAGGTTAGGGGTCATAAACGTTAAAAAAACACATAGGGACTGTCAAGGGTCCAGCTGGTCAAAACTTCATTAGCTAACTGACCAACACACATCATTATTAATTTAAATGGCTGAGATAATACACTATATTAGCTTACAGATCTAACAAATGTCAACCTGGCGGAATAAGCATACTTGTTCAGCATGTGTCATGGTTGTACTCGTGTGTGCGTTATTGGGTGAAGCTGGGAAAAGCGTTTTAATTTGTATTTAGTTCCTTTTTTTTCATATATTAAAATATCACTGAAACAATGACGTATATCTTATAAAAATAACACGAAGTTTAACAGAATCTTACATGGGTCTGTTCCGCAGACAGGGATATCTCAAAACAAAAGTCGGAGTTTGGCTGGTCAGCACGAGGCTTGCCGATTTTGGCTGGTCAGCACGAAGATTGCCGTGTGCTGGCCGGCCAAACTTTGTCACGAAGGTTGATATATCTCTGTCCATGCAACAGACCCATGTTTGATTGTTTTTCTCTTATACTTATAATAAATTCCAGTCGGAATAAACTTCGATCTGATTCTTCCACCAAAATCACAAAACCTTAGGGTTGAGACCCCATTCGTAACAAGGATATGGTATCACAGAAGCAATCAAAATGACGTCACGTCAACAATTCATTATTTAGGACATTATTCAGTCATAGCACGTGTCAGATGTCTTTCCCTACCTCGTGTAAGATAGAGTTATATTTCCCTAGCAAACCGGGATCACCCTGTGAAGTATGTGAGAAATATACATCTTATATCCCTAACTATATAGTGTTTGTTACCAATTAAGTTTAAGGATAGCAACATCTGAAGCATCAGTTCATCACACTTACAGCTTCATTCCCTGCTGTTAGAAGTTTTCATTTCACCTTTTCTGCTTTCAGTTTTCAATTGATTTGCCTGCCATTTATTTTTAATGCATCCCTCATCAATTCCTTCAATACCTTATCGGATCATCCCAATTTATAATGTTTAACTTCTGCATTGATAAAAAAATACCTGTTCATAAAAAGATAATTCTTACTAAGCTTTTGTTAGTCTCCCTCCAATGTGTCTGTTCCACAGTATAGCCCTCCTAACCTCGAGTGGAGATACAAGTTCCTGAAAAGTCTGTCCCCGCTCAGGATGGTAACTGACACATCATTCGAACTAATAATATTCTCTTGGAAACATTGTACAAAACGTGAAAAGAATGATGCTGGAAGATTGTAAATATTAACTAAGAACAAATACGAAATCGTCGTCAACGAGACAAATCATTAATATTGCATACCATAAAAAAATCAGGTATATTGATCTTTTTTCAATTTTCCTCCTGATTCCTATTAGGAACAATTTCTGAACTAAACTGAATTTTTTGCTGTATGTTAAAATGCCGAACGCTCGTGACACGATGCTTTCCCTGGCTGATCCAACACCGAACGAGTGACATGGCGCTTTCCCTGGCTGATCCAACACCGAACGAGGGACACGGTGCTTTCCTTGGCTGATCCAACACCGAACGAGTGACACGGTACTTTCCCTGGCTAATCCAACACCGAACGAGTCACACGGTGCTTTCCCTGGCTGATCCAATACCGAACGAGTGACACGGTGCTTTCCCTGGCCGATCCAACACCGAACGAGTCACACGGTGCTTTCCCTGGATGATCCAACACCGAACGAGTGACATGGTGCTTTCCCTGGCTGATCCAACACCGAACGAGTCACACGGTGCTTTCCCTGGCTGATCCAATACCGAACGAGTGACACGGTGCTTTCCCTGGCCGATCCAACACCGAACGAGTGACACGGTGCTTTCCCTGGCTAATCCAACACCGAACGAGTGACACGGTGCCTCCCTGGCCGATCCAACACCGAACGAGTGACACGGTGCTTTCCTTGGCTGATCCAACACCGAACGAGTGACATGGTACTTTCCCTGGCCGATCCAACACCGAACGAGTGGCACGGTGCTTTCCCTGGCTGATCCAACACCGAACGAGTGACACGGTACTTTCCCTGGCTGATCCAACACCGAACGAGTGACACGGTACTTTCCCTGGCCGATACAACACCGAACGAGTGACACGGTGCTTTCCCTGGCCGATCCAACACCGAACGAGTGACACGGGGCTTTCCCTGGCTGATCCAACACCGAACGAGTGACACGGTGCTTTCCTTGGCTGATCCAACACCGAACGAGGGACATGGTACTTTCCCTGGCCGATCCAACACCGAACGAGGGACACGGTGCTTTCCCTGGCTGATCCAACACCGAACGAGTGACACGGTGCTTTCCCTGGCTAATCCAACACCGAACGAGTGGTGTATCCTATTCTAACACAATAGCTTGTGTACCAACGGTGAGCCCCAAATAGTAGGTTGAATATTATATTAATGGGACAGTTGGATCTTCTATGGATATAACTAAAACCTTCACATGTAAAACATATTCACTCACATACTTGTCATTGTCCACTTATCATCCACATACACATAAGCAGAGTCAGAGGTGTTCTGAATGAGATGCTTTTCAAAATATATTTAGAAAACCTGAGTTGTTTATAGTAGTTTTGATGACAAGAACACACACACCCACAACAGGTGTTCCAGGTATTTTGTGCATATATTTAAAAGCAGGCATAATGAGACTAGAAGATGATTTGTTTATCGCTCAAAATCGCTGTTAGAGGCACCAGGTTCAGTTACTAATGCTGTCCTTAGTTATGTACTTGGTAAGGAGAAGGAGGGAAATGAGTCTGAATAGCAGCTGGTCAACGGTGAAATGAGTACATTAACTGAGTTAAATATATTTATCTTTTCTAATCAATAATTAACACTAATTAAGTAATAGTCATCAACATCTGGCAATGTTTATATTAATGTTGTAACCTGAACTAATTAGTATTAAGATTTTGTATGGCAAAAACAAAGAGTTAAACAAATATAATCATAATCCAAATTTCAAGGATACATTTGTGCACCTGTTTGTTGACCTCCTATTATGATTATAGATGATATCTCATTTTCAATGATTTTTTATATTCAGTGGTAAACTGCATCTTAAATATGAGATTAGGATTGATTACTTAGATTGAGGTAATACTGATATAATACTGCTAAGATTTAAGATTTGAAGATTTTCTAAACAACAGGATTTTCTTTGGGTTTTGTATGTGTTTACATTGAACTAAGCATTTCTTTCAACTGTTTCCTTCTCTATTCAATTTTAATTGCTATCATGTAATATATGTTTGGATGTTTTGGGCACGAGCAGTAGTGGCCTATTCATAAATCAAATGGATCACCGTTGGATATAACCACTAGTTCTCGAATGGCCATTCAACTTATCTAATGTCTAGCTGTTAAATAGGGAAACTATACAACCAGTAACACAATAGATCGAAGTTTTTAAGTTAAAGTTGAAAGGCCATGAACATTTTGTGAACTATTTGTTTTTTTTAATCGTGGTTTTGTTCTGATGGAGCAGTTGTACACAACGTGACCATTTTGACAGGTTACGAATAATGCTGTCAAGAATCGAGACATGTTATCTATAGCGCATAAATGTACTAATGAAGTCGGTAGTATTGTGTATATTGATAAATGTTTTGAATTGTCCTCTTTAAACATAGACATTTTAAGTAGTATTTAATGAATATTGTCTAATCTCTGTCCCTGTACGACGCAACATAACATTCATACCATGAATTAAGATCATTAAATTGGAATCAAACACATCGCAAAAGAGAGAAAACTTGAAACATTATCTTCATCAAGGTATATTTTTCTTTTCATTTTCTTTTCATGTTTCATATCAGTTGCTGCTGTCTGTTAGAATTGGATTAAGATATTCTGTCTCTGTATGTTGATATGATGATAAATGCTTTGATAGTTTTCAGTTCAAACATGCCAAAATCACGTGTCACGTTTTGTTTACTATGAGTTAAACCAGCCTCGCAAACAGGAAGTTTAAGAACGCGCTTCCCCGTTTTGTGAGATATGAATATGCCGCTACATTACCGGGAACTAGACGAGGAAAATAGAGCACGTTCTAATGCGAGTTAACAATTGCGTATAAACTGATCTCAAGTGGATGTCAGTATATAATTGACATAAGACGGGACCACTTAGATACAATCCTGTCAACCCTCTACACATGACAGCCTCTGTTTTACCGTACCAGTCACCTAGGTAAGTTGTATAAAACTATAACAACTGTTTACATTGTATATTTTGTTTCAAGATCACAGGTGTATACGTTATTTATTATGTCTTTGTTATTTAGTTGTATTTCAGTTTGTTCATATGGTGTGAAGTTGAAATTAAGTCTTTTTCATTTTATTATGAATTGCTTTTTTATTTAGATAATTGTATTTCCGTCACAGCATTATATATTTGATATATGCCATGAGCTTTAACGAAGACAAATATAATTATACATTTACAATATACAAATCTACCACATTATGTCACAAATCTCTCTAGTTGTAAACGATGGGGACACGACTGGATCTCATAACGATCATACTACACACATACATATACGTCTGTATAAAATGAAGACATATCTCTATTCTTAATCATTGTGTACAAGGCACACAATTCCACAGGTATACAAGTTTCCTGTTACTTGTACATTTAAAATAAATTGTGTTCTGGTCGATACATCATCTTCACGTCTGATATATACTACAGTATATAGTTGTGTCAGCGTGGTTAGTTTTTAAGTGGACGATAGGTGGTCCTGTATGACGTGCCCTGCGGTAAGAGACATTTGTTATTGTTGACATTTCAATTACAACGTCAATCAAAATGTAAATATACGGAATATCGCCGTACACTATGCATTAAGCAAACTATCCTGAAATCAACACAGTGAAATGATACTCGGTTTGTTTTGTGTATGTTCTGAAACAAAGTTCAAGGTATAGCCTGCGGTTTATTAGGAATGCTGTGTTGTTCCTGTTTGAGACATGATGTTAAAGGCGATAGGGGTACCCTTTACTTTTACTACTGGTCATATTTTATCAGATATCTTCAATGCTGGATTTCAATACCATTAATCATAACATATACATTTGTAAGGCGTAGCTCGTTCGTAGTAAGAGTATCATGTTTCTCATTTATATCAAATTTAAAAAAAAGAAACAACAATACTGAACGTTGATTTTACGAAATGGTCAAGACATTAAATAATTTGATGGATGATAAATAATGTATGTGTGTTATCTTACATAAATTTTCATTTGATATGAGATTTATTATACGAGTTTAAGAATGTTTTATTTAAGTGAGCTGATGGCGAGTTAAGACGAAAATCCATGACGAGATTTCTATGCTTCTTGTGAAACAGACACAAATTTCAGACATTTTTCTTCATCATGTCATTTATTTAATTTGCAAATATTTCGAAACACGTATCTAAAGTCAATTTCTAAATTCTTAACATTTTAAGTAGCGCGATATTGATTATACATCCATTGCTCTTTGTTACGTCATATTTTATAATATGGAATAATTTGATGACGTCATAATAAGTCATATTGAATGAGTGCATGTGGGAAAAAATGCGCATTATCATGAAACACTAAAAAATGTATCAAAGTGGAATTTCCCTGATTTTTGTGATTTTGTGTTACGACAGTTCCCCCCCCCCCCCCCCCCCCCAAATAATCAACAACAACAATAACAAAGTGTACTGCCCATGCATTCTCTATATTATACAGCTGGTTTCATTGGTGCATTGTATTTTCTTCATAATGCTTAATTTATTTAAGTGTCCGTTGCAGTGATTAAGAACTCTAAATTTATCATTTCAGAGTATAACCTTACGACTGGCGTCTTATCAAACAATTGTATTCCAACAACTAACTTTGGCCACATCAACAATGGCGGACAATACTAACATATCTACAAATATAACTGGAGGTACGGGAAATGTTACTGATGGACAAAGCTTTACCATCGAGGAGCTCAATGATATGTACATCAAACAGAAAATAGGAGGCATTGTGTTTGTAACTTTGTTGATGATCATTGGAGTGATAGGAAATGCGCACGTCCTCTATTTGTTTGCTTTTAAATTCCCAAAGACGAATCATCGTATTTACATCTTGAGCCTGGCAGTGCTGGATATGATCACGTGTTCCGTTGGCATGCCTTTTGTTATCGTGGATCTCCAAAATACCCTGACTTTTGAGTCAGCTATTTTGTGTAAACTACTCCGGTTCGTGAACTATTTCAATTCCGGAGGATCCGCGTTCACACTGGTTGTCATAGCAGTCGACAGATACAAGAAGATATGCAACCCTCTTGGAAAGCAAATGAATGAACGTATGGCCAAGATCGCATGCTGTATCGCCTTATCTATATCACTGATGATAGCCTGGCCTGCTCCGGTGTTGTACGGGAAGAGCACAGTAGATACCAGTGTTGATGGAATAACCGGCGTAGCTTGCTTCACAGAGGACAGGTTCAAGAAGACAAAATATCAATTATATTTTAATAGTGTTTTGATATTGGTAGTGTTTGGATCATTTGTGACGCTAATTGTTCTTTATGCATTAATTGGAAGGCGAATTTTGAAACAGAGCAAGAAGAGAACAAAGATGTTGAATCCAACAGTTTCGGGAACAACTGCAGTGGTGGAACCAACATCAAGCTCAAACTCCGGATCAGGTACAGATAACTCTAATGACACTTTGTCTACTGATGCTGTAATATGCACGAGTAGATCGACAAGTACTGATGAGATATCCAAGACGGACACTTTGCAGATGACAGCAACGCAGCAACACAATGAGACAGCTAAAAAGACTCCTTCGGGTAACAAGTCAAGAAGCAATATAGACGCTAAGAAAAATGCGCACGCAAAGAAAACAAAGAGAACAACGTTAATGCTTTTCATTATCACATTGGTGTTCATCATAAGTTTTGCTCCTCATTTAGCACTCAAAATAACTGTGTTCCTTAATAAGAAATTTCTTGCCAGCCGAACATTTGCAGAGCTGTTTTTGTACCACACATTCGTGTGGTCTTTTTTTATTAACAACATGGCCAATCCAATCATTTACGGATTTTGCGATCCACGTTTTCGTCGAGAGATCAGGAACATGTATGGACATTTGCTTCGAAAGCAATACAAGGCAAGCGTTGTATGAAAGTTTAACACAACATAGCACGTTCATAATGACGCCAAGTGATAGTGATGTAATGATAGTTGGTTTTGAAAAAGAACGCAAATTATATTTGCATAAATTGCAATAGTGATGTACTATATTAGCTGAGACTCGCAACAGTATCGCATCGTGTATGCTTATATTTGTATGTATTATATTGTTATAAGATAAATGAACTACTAACAATAGTATGCATCACAACATCAAACTACAAAATTATCCACATAAGGAATTTGCATAATATCTACCAGGAAACGTTCTCTAATTGAAATATATCACCAGAATGTATGAAATTGACATCAAGATTCCAGTCCTATAATATCACATGCAACTATATATAGTGATGATGTTCTGTCATAAGATAACAACAACTTGAAGAATTGTATATTTAAATTTCGTTTAATCTTAACAATTTGAAAATAAATATACCAAATAAAAACAGCTTCATATTTCATCATGTCTATGAGTTATGACAACATTAACAATATTGGTATTAAATAACATTCCAGCCACACCTTCAGGTAAAGTTTAGATGTAACGGTGATTTTGCTACTCAAGTGCCTGTTTCAATATGTAGGAGTTTTGGATGATGTCTGCAAGTTGACCATTTCTACGAAAGATGTTTTATCCTGCAGTTAAAGTTTTAAAATCATAACCATGATCATGTTTCCACAACTCTGTAATGCTTATTTGCTGATTTCAAAGTTCTTGTTATTTTGTTGTGTGGTGCTACTAGATGTCAGTCCGATATTGCTAGTTTGTACGTTGCCATCGGATATTTATGATGTGGTATATTGTACGATATCACTTTTGAACTTATAAGATACATATAAGAGGAATGATTTTTTCTTAATTTTTTTCTTTCTCTAGCAAAACTTTGTACAACTCACTAAACCAAAGTCGAAGGGTTCATTTGAAGCTGAGTCAGACGTATTGACCAAACATGTGTACTGTCAAGCTGGTCAAACGTCATCAACTAACTGACCAATCCTATATCAGGGTTATTGCCCCGATCAAACACTGTTACCTTCCTGGATCAAGCCCGGGTCAAGCGTCATCAGCCTATTTTTACTGTCCACAAATCTGCCTACCTGTTTTGTATCAGGCTGGTAAAACAATACTACGATATCAACTTACTGACAATAAATCTGTCTTGCCTTGTATAACGTAATGATTTAACCTATACTCTTCTTTAAAAAGATTCGATATCGATACATTAATCAACAGATAACTTCCACGTCTGTACAGAATTTTATTTGTTTGTCATTTCTAATATAAGTATCTGTAAGCCATGTATCAGCTCATACAGTACGTCCTTCCTGTCGGGGAGTGGTGATAAGTGACCGTGACAAATGAACGACGCATTCAGGATGGTAATTGAAACACAACTTTATAACGATGAGGATGTGTTCTTGAAAGATTGAAAATAAACATATGAAAAATAATGTATATCAACAAAACAGGACAACATACTAAAGATATTACTTATCACTGAACATCAATTAAGTCGGTCATCTATATTAGTGTTGTTTTTTTTTGTACCCGATAACCACTAAAACTGTTAAAGTACTTTCAGTTAGCAATTAAAATATTTTAGTTGCAAGTTTGAAGGTATGCAACTGAATGAAGATTAAAACTTATAAAGGATTTGCACCAATTTTTAATTAAAACAATAAGGTAGAATATTTTGTAAATTTATTAGTGTTTAGCTAATACTTCGTTGAGAATCAGTTTTCATTTTATTTTATATAAAAAGAAGACACAGATTTCAGGACGGTCCCATGCTATACCACGTTATTTTATAACGTGGTACTAATGCTAGCGTGTCACCCAAACCTCACCAAGTGATAATAATAGGGTTATATACCTTTGATTGATAATATTACGATGGTATGCTGTCTAGATAAGGACATGCGTTAACCACTGTCGATGGATATGTTCACTATTCTCTCCTTTATACTATATCATAACATACACACATTCCATTAATATCATTTAATTGACATGACACACTTTGCGATAGAGAAGGTTTTATATATGGTTCCACGATGCATTTACTTTATTTTGATGTCTAAGTCATTGTCTTAAGGAATTCCGATACTGAACTGTAGTGTAGGATATTGAACTGTTTTATTTCTAACATACCATAGTGACATTATTGTTGTTATATATACCGTGAGTACGCTGTAATATCAACCTAATAATAACGCACATTATATACATTGTAAAATTTGTATATTACACTTCATTTGAAAATCACCTTAAACTTTGCGCGGAAGACCTTCGATGTGAAGCCTCGGACCAATTACGGATAAATAGACCCCAGGTGGTAGTCAGTATATTATTTATAATTAACATAAGGCGGGACCACTAAGATACATTGATATTGTCCTGTAGTCATTAAGGCTTCCCCTTACAGGTAACTGTACCAGTCACCAAGTTAGGCTATGAATAACGATTACGGAGGTTTATAGTGAATAAGCTGTTCAAGGATAACATATATACTCGTAGTTTCATTGACAGCAGTAGAATAGGTACTTTGTCTGTATCGTTGATTTCATTGACAGCAGTATAATAAGTACGACTGTAGGGTTGATTTCATTGACAGCAGTATAATAGGTACTTTGTCTGTAGGGTTGATTTCATTGACAGCTGTATGATAGGTACTTTGTCTGTAGGGTTGATTTCATTGACAGCAGTAAAACAGGTACTTTGCCTCTATGGTTGATTTCATTGACAGCAGTATAATAGGTATTTTGTCTGTAGGATTGATTTCATTGACAGCAGTATAATAGGTACGTTGTCTGCAGGGTTGATTTCATTGACAGCAGCATAATAGGTACTTTGTGTGTAGGGTTGATTTCATTGACAGCAGTATACTAGGTAATTTGTCTGAAGGATTGATTTTAGTGACAGCAGTATAATCGGTACTTTGTCTGCATGGTGGATTTCATTGACAGCAGTATAATAGGTACTTTGTCTGTAGGATTGATTTCATTGAAAGCAGTATAATAGGTACTTTGTCTGTACGGTTGATTTCATTGACAGCAGTATAATAGGAACTTTGTCTGCAGAGTTGATTTCATTGACAGCAGTATTATAGGTACTTTGTCTGCAGGGTTGATTTCATTGACAGCAGTATAATAGGTACTTTGTCTGCAGAGTTGATTTCATTCACAGCAGTATGATAGGTACTTTGTCTGCAGGGTTGATTTTATTGTCAGCAGTATAATAGGTATTTTGTCTACAGAGTTGATTTCATTGACAGCAGTATTATAGGTACTTTGTCTGTAGAGTTGATTTCATTGACAGCAGTATAATAGGTACTTTGTGTGTAGGGTTGATTTCATTGACAGCAGTATAATAAGTACTTTGTCTGTATGGTTGATTTCATTGACAGCAGTATAATAGGTACGTCTTTATGGTTGATTTCATTGACAGCAGTATCCTAGGTACTTTGTGTGTAGGGTTGATTTCATTGACAGCAGTATAATAGGTACTTTGTCTGCAGAGTTGATTTCATTGACAGCTGTATAATAGGTACTTTGTCTGTAGGGTTGATTTCATTGACAGCATTATAATAGGTACTTTGTCTGCAGAGTTAATTTCATTGACATCAGTATAATAGGTACGTCTTTATGGTTGATTTCATTGACAGCAATATAATCGGTACTTTGTGTGTAGGGTTGATTTCATTGGCAGCAGTATAATAGGTACGTTGTCTGCAGTGTTGATTTCATTGACAGCAGGTTAATAGGTAATGTGTGTGTAGGGTTGATTTCATTGACATCAGTATAGTAGGTACGTCTTTATGGTTGATTTCATTGACAGCATTGTAATAGGTACTTTGTCTGCATGGTTGCTTTCATTGACAGCAGTATACTAGGTACTTTGTGTGTAGGGTTGATTTCATTGGCAGCAGTATAATAGGTACGTTGTCTGCAGTGTTGATTTCATTGACAGCAGGTTAATAGGTAATGTGTGTGTAGGGTTGATTTCATTGACTGCATTATAATAGGTACTTTTTCTGCAGAGTTAATTTCATTGTCATCAGTATAATAGGTACGTCTGTAGGGTTGATTTCATTTACAGCATTATAATAGGTACTTTGTGTGTCGGGTTGATTTCATTGACAGCAGGTTAATAGGTAATGTGTGTGTAGGGTTGATTTCATTGACAGTAGTATAATAGGTACTTTGTCTGCAGGGTTGCTTTCATTGACAGCAGTATAAAAGGTACTTTGTCTGCAGGGTTGATTTCATTGACAGCAGTATAATAGGTACTTTGTCTGCAGGGTTGATTTCATTGACAGCAGTATAATAGGTACTTTGTCTGTAGGGTTGATTTCATTGACAGCAGTATAATAGGTACTTTGTCTGTAGGGTTGATTTCATTGACAGCAGTATAATAGGTACTTTGTCTGTAGGGTTGATTTCATTGACAGCAGTATAATAGGTACTTTGTCTGTAGGGTTGATTTCATTGACAGCAGTATAATAGGTACTTTGTCTGTAGGGTTGATTTCATTGACAGCAGTATAATAGGTACTTTGTCTGTAGGGTTGATTTCATTGACAGCAGTATAATAGGTACTTTGTCTGTAGGGTTGATTTCATTGACAGCAGTATAATAGGTACTTTGTCTGTAGGGTTGATTTCATTGACAGCAGTATAATAGGTACTTTGTCTGTAGGGTTGATTTCATTGACAGCAGTATAATAGGTACTTTGTCTGTAGGGTTGATTTCATTGACAGCAGTATAATAGGTACTTTGTCTGTAGGGTTGATTTCATTGACAGCAGTATAATAGGTACTTTGTCTGTAGGGTTGATTTCATTGACAGCAGTATAATAGGTACTTTGTCTGTAGGGTTGATTTCATTGACAGCAGTATAATAGGTACTTTGTCTGTAGGGTTGATTTCATTGACAGCAGTATAATAGGTACTTTGTCTGTAGGGTTGATTTCATTGACAGCAGTATAATAGGTACTTTGTCTGTAGGGTTGATTTCATTGACAGCAGTATAATAGGTACTTTGTCTGTACGGTTGATTTCATTGACAGTAGTATTATAGGTACTTCGTCTGTAGGGTTGATTTCATTGACAGCAGTATAATAGGTACTTTGTCTGTAGGGTTGATTTCATTGACAGCAGTATAATAGGTACTTTGTCTGTAGGGTTGATTTCATTGACAGCAGTATAATAGGTACTTTGTCTGTAGGGTTGATTTCATTGACAGCAGTATAATAGGTACTTTGTCTGTAGGGTTGATTTCATTGACAGCAGTATAATAGGTACTTTGTCTGTACGGTTGATTTCATTGACAGTAGTATTATAGGTACTTCGTCTGTAGGGTTGATTTCATTGACAGCAGTATAATAGGTACTTTGTCTGTAGGGTTGATTTCATTGACAGCAGTATAATAGGTACTTTGTCTGTAGGGTTGATTTCATTGAC